GCAACAGCAAATATAGGTACATAAAATGTTTGGACAATGTGGAAAACTGAGAGAACCAGTCAAATAGTAGCGGAAGTGGGGAGATACAACTTGGCAGTGTTCGAAATCAGCAAAATCCACTGGAATAAAGCTGAACAGCAAAAATTAGGTACAGGAGAGATGCTACTGTACTCCGGTCACGAAGAGGAAGATGCTCCATACACTTTGGGAGTTGCTCTAATGCTATCTAAAGAAACATGAAATGCACTTATAGGATGGGTGTCTCACGGATCTAGATTAATCAAAATATTATTCAAAACAAAAAAAGGAGGGGATCACAATGAATGTTATCCAATTTTATGCACCCACAAATGATAGCAGCGACGACAATAAGGACATCAATCAATCATGGTGAAGTGCCCAAGAAAGGGTTTCACCATCCTGATAGGAAACCAAAACTCCGAAATCGGAATGGCCAACACCGGACATGAAGATATCACATTAGACGACACTAACTGGGATAGAAAAACAAAAATGGGGATAGATTCTCAGATTGGTTATAGGCAGCACAATATTTCCACACAAACGTATACACAAAGCTACATGGATCTCACCGGACCACATTATAGAGAACCAGATAGATCATATTTGCATCAATAAAAGATTCCGAAGGGCAATGAAAGATGTGAGAACCAAGAGAAGAGCTGACATAGCTTCAGATCACCACCTAGTTGTAGCCAATTTAAAACTGAAGCTAAAGAAGAACAGGAAAACTGGACAAACAGCATTACAAAGGTTCAAAACAGCCTTCCTTCGAGATACTGACAAACTCAGTGAATTCAAGATAGCTCTCAACAACAGGTTCCAAGCCTTACGGATCTACTGAAGGAAGAAAAAAATAATATGGAGGAAAACTGGAAAGGTACCAAAGAAGCATTAACTTCAACGTGTCAAGAGGTTCTGGGCCTCAAGAAGCATCATCATAAGGAATTGGTCTCTATAGAAACACTGGACAAGACCAAAGAAAGGAAGAACAAGAAGACAGCAATTAACAACAGCCGAACACGAACAGAGAAAGTTCAAGCACAAGCTACATACATAGAAGCAAACAAGCAAGTGAAGAAAAGTATGAGAGCGGACAAGCAGAAATACGTGAAAGAGCTAGCAACGACGGTGGAAAAAGCTGCAAGAGAAGGAAATGTGAGGCAATCATGTGATATGACGGAGAAACTACCAGGGAGATATAATAAACCAGAAGGACCAGGCACGGTCAAAGAAGATACGACAATCACTGAGATTCAAGAACAGGGGAACAGATAAGTAGAACACTTTGTTCAGCTCTTGAATGTACCAGCTCCATTGAATCCACCGTACCTAGAAGCAGCACTTACAAGCCTTCCCATAGATGTCACTCCGTAAACGATCGAAGAAATCAGGATGGTTATCAAACAGATTAACTGTGGAAAGGAGAATAACGTGACAATATACCAACCAAAGCACTAAAGTAAGATATAGAAGTAACTGAAAACACTCTCCACCTTCTATTCAGGAAGATTTGAGAGGATAAACAGGTGCCGACGGACTGAAATGGAGGACACACCATCAAGATACCGAAGAAAGGAGATTATGCTTTTTACTGTAAAAAGGCCATAGCTGAACACCGTACTATTTATGAACAACAGTTGGCATATGATGGCCGTACACATGCGAAACGATTGTTAAACGGCGAACACAGCGTAGTGATGGTAATCTCCCGTTACTGTTAAATGAAAATTCAGATTCACTAGCTTAATCAGATGGGGCAAAAGCTGAGACACTTTTCAACTATTTTAGCGAAGTCTACTCCACGTTCATTGTAACAAATACTTGTCCCTCTCACACCGAGATACCAGCCATTGAATCTGTACAGGTGACTGAGGAAACTGTTCTTCCATTGATAACTAACCCCAATTCTTGTAAGATACTGGGCCCTGATTGGTTTCATTCACAACTGCTGTCATCTCTTGCGGACATCATTTCAAGACCGATCGCGACGTTCTTCAACATGTCTCTTTCACTCTCCCAAAGCCCTAGAGATTGGAAAGACTCTATAGCCAGTTCTACGTTTAAGGATGGTCAGAGACAGATCGTATCTAGATCGCACCGGCCTGTCAGTCTAACCAGCATAGTCGTTAAGTTTCTTGAAAAGACAATTTGAGTTAAGTTACTAAGTCACATAGATTCACACAATATGTTAACTCCCAAGCAACATGGGTCTCGTAACAAGCGTTCATGCTTGACTAACTTACTTTCTGCAAGAGGATTAGACAGCAGCCCTAAATGACAGTCTATCTGTCGATGTGATATTCACATATTTTAGCAAAGCGTTTGACAACGTTTCACACTTAGGTCTTATATAGAAGCTCTTGAGCTTCGGAATAGCAGGTGCTGTGAAACGTCTTATATGACCGCAGACAGAGAGTGAGGGTCAACGGGACGCTGTCCGATTGGAAGCCGGTTAAAAATGGTATACCACAAGACACCATCTTAGGCCCTCTACTTTTCCTTCTCTGCGTCAATAAATTACCGCTATTGCTTAAGTCATCGACATTATTGTTTGCGGATGATGTCAAAATCTGGAGAACAATAACAGGTGAGGCTAATCGTTTTGATCTCTGAGCTGACTCAGACGAGTTCGTTAGATGGGCTCGAGGTTGGGGCTTAGAAGTTAATTCTAGGGAGAGTGTGCTCATGCACATCGGACACAGTAATAGTTACCATTATGGTAGTGATGGTACATTTCTTCAACGCGTTCAAGAACATAAATACATAGGAGCAATGATAAGTCATGACTTAAAAACAACTACGCATTGCAACGCAGCTGCTGGCAAAGGTTGTCGTGCGTTTTGGTCACTTCGCCGAGCGTTCAAATGCTTTGACGAGATGTTTCGAATTTTATATCCCACCCATGTAAGATCACACTTAGAGTACTGTGTCCAAGCGGCTGTCCCATGTGTGACAAATGATACTAACTGACTTGTGTGTTCAGCTTGTGGGAACAAGATTAATGAAGGGTCTTTCTAAACTCCCTTACGATGAACGCTTAGAACGCCTTAACCTTTTTCTCTTGTCGTATCATAGGACGTGAGGTGACCTTATAGTGGTATTTCGTATCTTTAATTATTACTTCGGTATTAATATGTCCTATATTTTTACCCCCTCCAGAACTAATGGTCTCCGAAGTCATAGCAAGGAGGCTCACAAACTGCGATCTAATAAACTTAAAGTGAGGTCCCGTTTTTCTCATCGAGTAGTCAATGACTAGAACACCTTAATCGAACAGGTGGTATCAGCCCCATCAGTGAATGTTCTCAAAGAGAAGCTGGACCTTCTTTGGAAGGCAGTCTGTCAGAATTAACGCAGGTTCACCAACCTACTATCCTTATTACTGAAGACCGAAGTATGGTCGCTTATCGACAATAAAACAGCGTCTTAGAGGTGGTCTTATAAGGACTTACAGCATCCCCCTTAAACACCTACTTAGGTTTAGCTCTAGCACAAACCAATGGGACAATACCCAGAAATTGGAGACATAACACAGCAGAACAGACTATAGACACAACTTCTACTCCTTAAGAGTTGTTCAATACTGGAGTTCGCTGCTGGTTGAGCTAGTCCAAGGGACTTCCTAGGAGTCCTTTAAGATGAAACTTGAACTACATGTAAGTACTAAGGATAGCACCTTTTGCCTCTTTTTTATCGTTAATATACTGTGAAGATATGCCTGATAGGCTTATTTTGTAAATAGTTTTTAATGTTATTTGTATTTATTTTGCCAATTTTTCACTGTATGTACATTTATCATTCAACGACTGTACGTGTTGTTTAAGTGAATGACCTCGTACATTGTCTGGTCCGTCACAATATCTAGCTTCCTGTTTGGAGATATTGGTGACCCACTGCTACTAAACACGGAAGCCCGTTAAGCAAAAACTTCCTCTATTCCGCCCACAACTATTTAAGCCATTTGCATGATGAACAAATTTGACCTTCAGAGATTTGATTGTGACTCACCCGAAATGCTTTTTAATGCAGCAAAAGATGACTTAAATGCGAAAAAACTTGATACTAATACAATCCAACAAACCCACGGCAAATGAAATACGGATTGGCCGCCTATTGTCAGGCGGTTAAAGGTCGTCGAAGCGAAAGTGCGGATCGCTTCGAACGGCTCTGACGTTTTTCCCGTACCCGAAGTTTCTTTTTACCTTCTTCTTTCACGTGTTCGGGTATTTTGATATAGTGCTTTTAACATTACTAATTGTCCTCGAATAATTTTACTATCCAGATCCAGTGCTCACTTGTTTGCAATAATCATTGCACTGGGCCTAAATACATAAGTAACAACCTACATTATGAAGCTTTCCATGCCGATACAAAGTCTAGTGTACGGCATTTACGCGGAAAGTCGGTAGGAGTACTTGCCACGCAACCTGATATTAAATTATTTATGTCCCTAACTGCACATGAGTTTAAGTCTAGCATTCTTCTGCGTGCTAAATCTACCATAAATTCGCTAGTTTTTTTGTAACATCAAGGTAGACCATGTGCATAGGATCTAAAGGAAAAGTTATAATCATGTGAATAAAAAGCGTTTTCACAATAGAATGTCCTTGATAGTGAATAGATTGAGACTGACAACGGAAGGTGTCGTCTGTTCTTAAAGTATATACTCCATTTGGAAATGTCGTCTTCCCCTCCAGCCATCTCCTAATCACAGTACACCTATCGCAACCTGCCTTACCGTTATGAGTTACCGTGTACCTAACAGAAGAACGAACAGGTGCGTCACACATAACAGCCGCCAACCTTATAGCTATGCATTTGTTAAACTTGACACTAAAAATACCCACGTCAGTCATTTCGTTTATTTCAGAAATTGTGTCCACAGAAAATTCGTCGAATTCTGCCGGTTTACTATTCCCTCCATAGATCCCTATCATGAACACGTCACTAAACCTAGGGGCAATGATCCTTCCTAGTGATGATGTCACATGTATTCAGTGTTTGACAACGCTTCTACCAGTAACACCTTCTAATATATTTCGTTCCCGCCCAGAGAAATCAAAAGACAGAGTCGAGGAGATCGGAAGAGTATATTTGGCGATGACCAATATATCGGAATTCTCTGATCTAATCTGGCTAGCGATTGCGGTTGATGTTGAGCACGGCGTTACCACACGTGATCTGGTGCGGATGACTGACCGAGCGCCTTCAGCTAGGTGAGTCCACTAAAACATATGGTCAGCATCCAATGTCGAAAACTTAGTGCTATTTATTTTGGGGATTTATTTACCGCTACAGATCACTCCCCCCCTAGTGGGGCAATGACGACCCTAAGACGTGGCCAGCCAGAAGTTTAAACCCAACGAGTTTGTCGTTGGTAAACACTCTTCTGATAGCTTACTAAATTTAGCAGCGTCTGGTCGTCTTTCCTTACTATATGGGACGGAGGTACAACATAGTAAAAAAAGAAAATGTACATGGAAAATTTCGGATCCTCATAAACGTCATCGTTCTTTTCCAGCCGTCCTGGAAAAGAAAAACGAAAATGTAAGTGCATGTCGAAATACACTCGTATGTGCGTAAAAGCACAATGTCGGCGGAAAAAAAATGGAAAATAAACTCATGAACACGTAATAGCGTTAAAAAAATTGTTTTTTTGTTTTGTTTTTTTTTAAATAGAAATAAAAATATATAAGCATATTAAAATTGTTTTTTTTTTAAAAAATAATATAAAATGTCGAGAAGTGCCTTACGTGCAATAGTCGTTTAGATGTTCTGGAAATCTCACCCTTCTTCCAGAACGCGTCGTTTTAAGTTTATTTTCGGATACTGTCGAAGTATCATCGTGTGTGTTGGTTGTCGGATGAGGTATTATAAGTGTCGGAGTCGTGTCGTTCAATTGTACCGAAGGAAAATCCACGTAGATAGGATTTCCTTCTAAATACGCTGCTTTTAAGCGATCGATACTGATGCTATCGTTGGTTCCGTTCTTATCGACTATATAGTACTTAGATTCACGTTGAAGAACTTTGAAGGGTCCTTCGTATGCTGATTCGAAGGGTCGTCGATGCGAGTCTCGACGAACGAAAACGTGTGTACTATATCGTAAGTCAGGTTGAACGAAAACATCAGTTGATTGAGGTCGGGTGGAAGCAGGTTTAACTGAACGCATTGCGTTTTTAAGCCTGTTCGTGTAGGAGGTTAGATCCATGTTCATTGAAGAGGATGAAGGATCCACGAATTCTCCTGGAAGTCGAAGTGTCGTACCATAAACGAGTTGAGACGCAGTGTATCCAATGTCAGCTTTCACTGCATTGCGGATACCTAGTAAGACGAGTGGAAGAGCGTCGGTCCACTGTGAAACGTTTGTAGCTGATAGCGAAGCTTTCAGTTGTCGGTGAAAACGTTCTACCAACCCGTTTGCTTGTGGATGGTAGGCGGTCGTTCGGAAGCGAGTGCTTCCTAAAAGAGTGGTCAGACGACGGAAAAGATCAGATTCAAATTGACGTCCGCGGTCTGTAGTGATGGTTGAAGGGCAGCCGAAGTTTGCTACCCATCGTTCGACGAAGGTGCGAGCCACTGTTTCAGCAGTGATGTCCTTGATAGGTACTGCTTCTGGCCATCGAGTGAAACGGTCTACGCAGGTTAAGAGATAAGAGTATCCATTTGAATCTGGTAAAGGTCCTACCAAATCCAGATGAACATGGTCGAAACGAGCACCGGGAGTTTTAAACGAGCCTAAGGGACATTTATTGTGTCTGATAACCTTAGATTTTTGGCAGCTTACACAGGAGCGTGCCCACTCCCTCACGTCTTTATTCATTCCAGGCCAGCAAAACCTTTCTGCTATAAGCTTGATGGTTGCACGAACACCTGGATGCGAAAGTTTGTGCAATGTGTTGAAGACATTGCGTCGATAATGTTTCGGCACGATTGGGAGATCCCTACCTGTAGATGTGTCACAAAGTAAGGTTTCCTTACCTGTTTCCATCTGTTTGATGTGTAGTTTTAGTATTGTGGACGATAACTCGTGCTGAAGATCACTGTCTTCTTTTTGAAGCTCGGCGAGTTTAAGAAGGTCGATTCCTTGGAAACTGTTCAAGGAAGTTATGCGAGATAAGGCGTCTGCAAATACATTGTTTGCTCCAGAGATGTGTTGAATGTCTGAAGTAAACTGCGAAATGTAGTTTAGTTGTCGAGACTCACGGGGAGAGTACTTGTCAGAAGGAGAGCTTAACGAGAAAGTGAGCGGTTTATGGTCCGTGAAAAGAGTGAATTCACGACCTTCGATGTAGTGTTGGAAATGCCGTACAGCACAATACATAGCTAGGAGTTCCCTACCGAATGTGCTGTACCTCGATTCGGTGTCTAGCAACCTTCTAGAGACAAATGCCAAGGGTTGCCAGGAGTTGTTAACCCATTGTTGTAAGACTCCTCCGATTGCTGAGTCGGATGCGTCTACTGCGATACTAATGGGTGCTCGGGTGTCCTGATGTGCGAGCATTGTTGCTTTAGCAATCAGTTCCTTAACTGTGGAGAATGCTTTTCGTGCGGTGTTGTCCAAATTAATGGATTTCGCATTTCCACGAAGTTGGTCGGTTAGAGGTTTCATGAGTAATGCGCATTTCGGTATGAAACGTCTATAGAAACTTACCAGGCCGTTAAACGTGCGTAATTGCTTGACGGTGGTCGGTTCTGGGTAATCCAGAATGGCCGCCACTTTGGTCCTAAGAGGTCGAATGCCTTGAGCATCGATAGTGTGTCCTAGGAAGTCTAACGAGTTGGTTCCGAATTGGCATTTCTGAACGTTTACAGTTATGCCATGTTTTTGAAGTCGTTCGAAAACAAGATCCAGATGCTTGAGATGTGTTTCTCTGTCCGGACTTGCGATTAGACAGTCGTCAACATACGCGTGTACGAAGTTGAGACCTCGAAAAACGTCGTCTATGAATCTTTGGAATGTTTGAGCAGCATTCCTTAGACCGAAAGGCATTCGCAAAAATTCATAGAGTCCGAAGGGAGTTACGATAGCCGTTTTCGGTATGTCGTCAGTAGCCATAGGGATTTGGTTATACGCTTTAACCAAGTCGATTTTCGAAAAGACAGTTGTACCTTTCAAGGTAGCTGTCAAATCGTGAATGTGAGGCAACGGGTAACGATCGGGAATGGTTTTCGCGTTCAATCGCCGATAGTCACCAGTTGGACGCCAATCGTTGCTGTCCTTTTTAGGGACCATGTGCAACGGAGATGCATATGGGCTACTTGACGGTCGTATGATTCCTAAGTCCATCATGTGATCGAATTCGTTTTTCGCTAACCTTAGCTTTTCAGGAGCTAGTCGGCGTGCTTTAGAAAATACAGGTGGTCCTGTAGTCGTGATGTGATGTGTAACATTGCTGGTTACACACGGTAGTTTCGTTTGAGTTTGTTGTATCTCAGTGTACTTATCGAGTAGTGGTTGATAGAGTGGGTCTATCATATGTTTAACTGTGACTGGGGATACTCTACAACCAGTAAAAGAAGTTACGCAAACGGACAAATTAGTGTTTCCGTCTACTAGCCTCCGTTTGCGAGTGTCGATGATCAGATTGTGGTGTTGTAGAAGGTCCATACCAATGATTGGCATAGAAACATCTGCAACAACGAAAATCCAGTGGATGGGTTTGCGTAAACCCACGTTAAGGTAAACGTTCCTTTTGCCATACGTAGCGATCGGTTTTCCATTTGCCGCCTGTAAGTTAAAAGCCGACTCCTGAAGCCGGTCGTTAGGATTTGCTGGGAGAACGCTAACTTCTGCGCCAGTGTCGACGAGGTAACGAACTCTCGTTGTCACATCTGTGACGAATAACAGACGGCTTTGTTCGCCGGCTACGGTTGCCGTTAACGCGTGCCGGCTTGGAAGTTTCCCGAATTGCTTTTCGAATCAGTCGGTTTCGTGTTGGGAAAATTGCAGGGTTTTCTGCAATTTCTGGAAAGCTTTCCATACTGGTTATGATACCAGCACCAGTCGGGGTTATCTGTCTCTCGTGGTCTAGAGACAGATCGCTTACGAGAAATGCTTCTACGTGGTGTGCACGATCTCTTACGGTCGTTACGAAGACTAAGATAACGCGTGAGTGTGTGACATAAGTCGCTTATATCATTCTGAGTCGTTTGAGGTTTTTCTTTGACTGAAAATACCTCGGTAGTAGATTTCGTAATTTCTAATATGCGGTCGGCAGATGCAGCTAGCTCGTCTAAGGCGTTGTTCTGGAACGAGACCAGAACTGCTTGCACCTGTTGGGGAAGTTTTGACAAGAAGAGTTGTTTGAATAGGCCTTCGTCGAAAGTTCTTGGGCCTATAACCTCTCTCATCCGTTGCAACATGTCTGTCGCAGAACCGTGTTGCAGGTCGATATTGTTGAAGAGTTGATCTAACCTTTGTCGATCGGTTAGGCCTCCTCGTTTAAGAATCGAGCGTCTTAAGATTTCGTAAGGATCGGAAACATCACTAGTAAACATACTAGGTGTTACGTACCTGTTGAATTCGCGCGGTAGTGCCTTGACTACTGCGAGGAATTGTGCACGTGTGTCGATCACGCCGTGCTCGGAGAAGTCGGCTTCTGCGTAGCAAAACTAGGCTTCGATGTTGTCGGGCCAGAAAGGCATCAGTTGAAACGAAGGCGGGGACAAAGTCTTAAGCTTGAGTACTTTAGGTGTGTGTTCAGTCATGATGAAGTATGAAGTACGATAATGAACAAGAGGAAAATATATATATCCAGGAAAAAACACGAAAAAAAAAATCACAATGTTTAAAAAAGTTAAAAAAAATAAGGCAATGATATATAAAAATCCCAAAAAGGAACAGACTCACAGTTGCAATTAGGTGTACCAGATCACGTCGGTTTCACCAATGATTACGTCACATGTATTCAGTGTTTGACAACGCTTCTACCAGTAACACCTTCTAATATATTTCGTTCCCGCCCAGAGAAATCAAAAGACAGAGTCGAGGAGATCGGAAGAGTATATTTGGCGATGACCAATATATCGGAATTCTCTGATCTAATCTGGCTAGCGATTGCGGTTGATGTTGAGCACGGCGTTACCACACGTGATCTGGTGCGGATGACTGACCGAGCGCCTTCAGCTAGGTGAGTCCACTAAAACATATGGTCAGCATCCAATGTCGAAAACTTAGTGCTATTTATTTTGGGGATTTATTTACCGCTACACTAGTATAGCCCATAACTGTTGATTGGAGCTTCTAGACATAGAAAGTCCATCAATATTGATATATAAATTTAAAGAGTCAAAATCAATAGTACATAACCAAAGCTCAACGTTTCTTAGCAGATTGGTTTTCAATCCTAGATGGTAGTAAACTCCAATGCCAATGAACTTTGGTTGAACATTTGGACACGTCTTCAGGACACCTCTGATGCTTTTCGGTATGTCCGGGATAAGAAATCATACAGAACCCGATCAGCATCTCTTATGCTCAGATATGTATTTGACATTACATACATCATAAAGTCGTTCATCAGTTCTTTGCGATTTACGAACTTCTGAGAGCACAAGTTCACTTCAGTACATCCTATAAGATGTATATTCCCGTATGAATTCAATGTACATACCACTATTATCTGAAAGCCTTTGATTGATGTTGCTAGTGGATGGTGTAACACTTGAAGTACTGTCAGTACAACTGATTTATCTCTTTACTTCTATCAATTTAATAAACAACACTGTTGAACTCAGTTACCTTTCAGGGTGCTTTCATTAGAAAACTCACTGAACGAAAGAAAGTCATATTTTTTCATGAAAGCGGCTCTCATTTTATTCCACCTTCTGTTATAAGTGGATCTATGACAACCAAGGGAACGTGACAAGTTTACAGTGGCCCTACGTCTAGGAACATTCTCACTGACTTCAACAAAACTCATATTATTGGCATAATAAGGTAATCAGTCACAAATAACAGGAAAATCTGAGAGCACGTCACTCACCTGCATCACGTAAGTTTTTTTGTAATGGCTCCTAAACAGGTCTGAACACTTTAGCTTAACAAAGAACGAAGTCAGTGTACATGCGTCTCAACCGAATGCCTGGTTCCGTAATTCGTACCTTGTTTTTATGACAATAGTTTTATTTTTTATTAAGTGGTGCCTTAATTCGTCGAAGTTTATGAAAACTTAAGTTCTGGATGCGGTTTATTCAAATACTGTACGTTATGTATAATTGTCGACAAATTCCGCCAAATACACGACGTAAGGGGGAAAAAGCGACGTTTCCCCTAAATAATCGACGTAAAGGCGAAAAAGCGACATTTCCCTTTATTTACGCTTTCGTCCGCTTCATTTCCCCTTTTCCGGTTGTCTGGGAAATTACTTTGATTTGTCATATTAGTTTGCAATTGGTCAGGTATTTCAACTTAAGTTACAATGCCCAAAGAAAGCTTAACTGGGAAATAAAGGCGAATGCCCGTAAAACTTAGTGTGAACTTACGCTGAATTGCACCAGGATATATCCATTTGCGTGTGCTCTATGGGAATAGACGTTTGGTCTGGATATCTTAAAGCGCGCTTTAAGATATATGTCGCGAGATATATCAAAACTCAAAACTGTACCTTTACCCAAATCTACACTAAATAATCCACCTTCTGACTACCTAGTGCCTTGAACATCAATCACTTACCTAGGGAAGCCAAATTTGCACGCCTTTGGCCTTATGATAAAGAAAGGTTCATGAAATTTGTTTACAGGAATTATAAACACAGTCCACATAAATATCATCAACATTGGAGTGCCAGTCACACGTTCTGAGTAACAGGTATGTTTATCATCGATTGATATCTGGAAAAATCTAGCAGTTTATAAGGGTTCTTAAATAAGTTCGTTTCTTATTGTGAACCAGTTTCAGTTTGGAAGGGACAGGAGGCTTGATGGCCTGTGTTAGTCCTGGCAATGATGATCTCTCAGTTGATCCGACTTTCTTCTGAAAGAGTCGACGGATGGATCCTCAACCATGTGCTGAGGTAATGAATCTCACTCGTTGATGATTCGATGGGAAATTCGACAGTCAGCTGACAAGTAATTTTTCCTGGGCTTGTGAACTTTTCTGGAGTGTCCTCGTAAATTCTCTGTTTGGGATGACAAGAAAAATGAAGGCACATCAGGTGCGAATTTATCACTTAGCGATTTGAAAACTGTAATCAAGCAGCCTTTAGTTCTGCAATATGACAACAGGGATCGGTTTAGCTTGGCCAGTCAAGCATCATACGGGAGCTTCGCTATTCCGGGGATCAGCTTAGTTGTTGTTCTCTGAATCTTTTCCAAAAGTTCAATGTCTTTTTTTAAGCAGGGGCTAGCCGCTTGTATGTAGTACTCAAGTTTAGGACACACAAACACTGTATACAAAGTCAGAAACGTTTTAGCGCCGACATGACTAAAGGCCCTACGTATTGACCATAAAGTTCTAAAACCTTTGGTGGCTATTGCACGACAGTGTGCAGTAGTCTTTAAGTCTTGGTTGACGATGACTCTTAAGTCATTTTGTCTGGACAACAGGTAGCTCAGTGTTATTCATCGTGTATGCATCTGTACCTTGATGGCCGATATGCATCATAATACACTTTGAAGTATTATTCGGCAACTGCCAGGTTTGAGACCATTCAGATAATTTCTCCAGGTTATTTTGGAGTTCTAAGCTATCACCCTTACTTCGTATCGCTCTCCATATCTTGACATCGTCAGCGTATATCAAGACTGATGATTATAGTAGACGAGGAAGGTCATTTATATATACGAGGAATAACACTGGATACTAATTTATACGAACTTCTAACACCTCCTCATTTGTCTCCATACATCACGTACAGGCGTGAATATCGAAGTGTGTGTATAGCATAATTTATTTTCAAAAATTAATCATCACAGTATAGACGATTACAGAGAGAGATAGTGAGCCTACTCTCCCTACCCTCGACTGTACTATGGCATTTCGGACTATTGAGTAGTTTTAAAAATAGATCTTGCATAACAAACCTGCCAGATATTTTAAAAGACCTCATACATCCTTACAACTAGAACCGGGGCCGCCAACTCTAGCTTCGGAATAATAACTTTGCTGATTAGGCTACTTTAGATCCACAGTAGAGCAGCACGCACCGTGTAGGTTGTCGCTGTGGACTCGTGCGTTACTGGTCAAGGGTAAATCCATCGCATCTTCATTCACACTTTCCGCTTTGACACTGTATTTTGAATCTGTTTGGAGAAGTAGTGCTTGTTTACCTGTGTCAGAAGTGTACTGTGAACTCGCGACAATATAGAACCAGAGTTCATCATCACTATAGCTTATTACCATCTTGGATTACCAATCAATCTACTTAGGTACGTTAAGCTAGGGTTATCCAATGTACAAATGAATGTTAATGGTTTATCAATAGCAATTTGAATGAACAATTAGGCCCAATTGTTCCTTGTGGGATTGATGATACCTTCATGACCGGTGTTTATAGTGTTTATAATAATCCTTCAAACGTCAGTCAGATAATTTCATTTACGATTTCCAAATATATACAGTAGGGAAACCTTGAGCTTTATGGTCAAACGTCTAACAGTTATGTTTCTGTCGAGTCAGTCACCGTCATACATGACTCGCCGGGTTATTTTGAAGTTTGAGTTAACTGTTAGTTATGGTAGGTGTGTAGTTAGGGGACGTCGTCTTAACGGTATGATGGCAAATGTACTTTGTGGGCTGATTAAGGTTTTTACCTAAAGAGTCAAGCTATTTATCATCATTGAGAATCTGACTTTTGGATATTAAACATTAACATAGTGTCTGATTTCCCTTTGGACACCATGTATTTGATTTACTAAGGCCTCGCCAAATATGAGATTTCTTTATGAATAGGAATATAGGTAAAACTGTTATTGCTACCATTAATAAATCCGTCCTTCAATAGTGTACCTGGTGGCACCGGATTATTATCTCAGTTTCCTTCCCCTATCAACTGGAGGTATTGAAAACTGAAAACATGTCGTCAGCAAGAAGATATGGAGAACAGACTTGTAGAACTACGGGTTTCTTCTATAATTAAGTTATGAGACCAGAATTACCTACTAGTTATGCTTTACTTGGAAGTTAATTCGTGAATTCTCGTCACACACTTCTTGAGAGCTAAAGATTCTACCCGGTCGCTCAATACGATGTTTGTTGAGCAGCATTCAACCTCAGGACTTAGTGTTCGGATGCTGAACCCTTTATCTATAAAGCTGATACTGATTAACGAATATTTATACTATACTCTTCGTCCTTTATGACTGTTTGATTAAGGAAATGTATAGCTGCTCTGAATATTCAAGCTAATAGAAATCTTATATGTTAATAGCATATCTTGCGAAATCGTATGAGTGATGTTTTTTGTTTGTAAAATAAATCTACCCACAAACAAATGTTCAATCTATTTCTATATTATTGTTTGTTGTTTTATATTTTATTATACAATTCAGTATCTGATGTTCTTTGGTACATTAATTAATTGTGTATTAAGATTGTACTATCATCACTTGTTCTTAATCACTCAACTGCACTAATATTGGTCGAAGACCTTGGAAACCCCTTGCTGTTAGAATAATATACCAAAATATATGGCTAATTTGCGAGCTTTCATTGTTGGTAGTACTGGCGAAACAGGAAAAGCATTAATCAAAGCCTTAGCTAAAGATACAAGATACAGTTCTATCAAATTAATTCAAAGGCGTAAAACAGATGTTGATTATGGTTTTGAAAACAAAGATTCTGAAAATCGTTTCACTCAGATTATTATAGATTTCGACCATATAGATGACTATCAAGAAGTATTTCAAGATACTGATGTGGGTTTTTGTGCCTTTGGGACAACCTTAAAAAAATCAGGAAAGGAAAAAATGAGGATAATAGACCATGACTATGTAATTCATATTGCAAAGTTAAGTTCTGCAGCTGGCTGTAAAGAATTTCATCTTGTCAGTTCAAAAGTAAGTCGTGAATTTTGAGACATTTATGCAAAATTTCGACAAAATATATTGTTAATTTTTTATCGCTTCATTTCTTATGTAGTTATTGCTAAATACCAGTACAAGTGACATAGGACTTCTGACGGCAAATAAAACTAGTTATTTATTTCTCGTAAATGATCATACTTCACTTAATATCGGTAGGCAGGTAAGCGGACAAACAGTAACGTAATTTTGCAGTGACTCGTGTCGCTGAACCAAATCGATGGGTCGAATTGTTGAACGTTCCTTGAGTCATTGACCTAACTTTCTGATCAACATGACAGTGGATAGAATTAGTATTTATCATCATGATATTTCAGTAGCTGAAATAGGTTCGTACACATTTCATTCGTTAAAGGGTTTTAGTTCCGTATGTTCTGGTGATTTTTTTCGACCTAATAAGGAAACTGCGTGGTCATTCTGTTAAGTTTAGTCACTGTTAAATCAATGTTTTCTCATTTACATCCTTAAACTATAGACTTTTTTGAATACCATGGTTATGAACTCGAAGATGATCACAATAACTTAAATATATTTTGGTTTTTCACAATTGATTGATCACTGGGTGGTGACTAATGTTATGTGTGTCAAGTCCTTATTAGTGCAGATCGAACGCTATCGACCATGATGCAATGTGCCCACCAGCCTAGGTGACTCGACACTGCGTGCACTATTGTGAGATTAGATGGTGGTTGGAGGTAGTTGACAGGAAACCCTGGACTCAGATTTCGTGCTACTTGGCACTCGTCAGCAAGGTGTACCTGTAGTTTTAAGGGAACTGGTGCTCTTTGATGGATTCGATCCCGTGTCACCCAGCTTCACAGTCAGAGATGTTACCACTGGGTCACGCTCTCACGTTACTGAGACCAACTCTAATCCAATTTCCTTTACAGGTACCTCCAGAAGAACCCTTCCTCGGTGTGGGCAACCGGGAAGTGATAACCGCCCTCATGCCTCTAACAGCACTCGAGACCACTGTATTCATAATCAACCTTCCTCTTCGCTTCCTA